CAGCAGACACTTCAAACATCAGGTCTGAATATTAAGAGAAGTCCATTCCCTTTATCACCTTTCCAGGTGAAACTGCAATGCTCTGGTAATCAGGTTCTGAAGAGGTGGCACCTCTGGGAGTCAAGAGACTTCCCAGCCAGCAGACAGAACACACAAAAAGCAACATGCTGTGAACCAGATGCCAAACACAATTCTGTCTGCACACATTTCCTAGCAGGTGGATCTAAATCCTCTAAGTTAAATATCCAGGCACAAGAATACAAGGCTTTCCAGAAAACCAAAAATGTCATCTCCAAATTAAGCCAAATTAACAACTTGGTTTCAAGCACAATGGGCAGCACAGCCCAGTGCTGTGCACAGCCACAGTCACACCTCAACACAGCACTCCTGTTRGTGTGATCTGAATCTCCTTTCAGCAAAAGCCACCAGCTGCAAGCAGCTCTGTAGAGCTTCCACATAGATAACGGAGTAATCTAATTTTGTTTGTGACCTAAATCCTAYTTGGACACAGGACAGATGAGGTAAAAGGTGGGATGCTTTCCAGTGAGTATAATGGGTTGGAATTTGAAGAGCTCACTCTAACCRTGGCTTGTGTTCTCCAGCCTCTGCAACGCCTGCTGCAGGGAAAACAAAGTTAGCAGCTGTTAATCTGGTCTAAGTGACAAATTCAGCCTGAACTCACGAGAGACATGGGCTAACCTGGCAGGCTTCCACAGCCTCAACTGCTCCCCAGCTTGCACAGCATGTTCATCACAGCCTCACTGACTTTGGCCAGGCATCAGCCATCACTAAAATGCTTACATCTTCTCCAGATTGCATTCTTTCAAGTATGAATTATATTCCCCAACTACTGTCTCTAATTCAGGCTCTATTCTGCCTTACCCTGTACGGGTCACATGAAAAATTAAGTTTAYAACTGTGCTAGATGCCCTACAGACAGGAAGGATACATGTCATGCCTCGATAAAAATCTCTTTGCACATCTCTAGAAGATTTGGTGGCAGCAGTTTCAGCTGAACCAAACAAGACACACCTCCTCCATCACATGCACCAGAATGGACCTTCCTWCCAAATCCTTGCCTCGCTTCTGGCTGCTCAACACACCATCCTAGGGCTCTGCCCACTGCCCCACAACATCTCCACAGGTAGGCATTCACAGTGCTTTTTAGTTGGATAAGGGATGTCTCAGCCCTCAGTATCTCCAGAAGGAGAGATGTCAAGGAACAACAGCCCAAATTCTAGAACTAGAAATGTACCTCCAGTTTCTAACCTCATTCAAAGTCTGAGTAGCTCTTCTCTTTAAAGGTCACATCAAAGCCCCTGGATAATAACATATGTTCCAATTCAGAAAGTGTTTAGGGCAAACTCCAAGCGGCACTGGAGATGTAAGAAGTCCTGTCCCTGGCTCCAGTCTGAGTAGCTGCAGTGTCYGCCCATCTCCTCCTTGCTCAGTTTCCTGAGTATCTGTGACAAAGGTGACCTCTTCCCAACACAGCTGGTGGTGGATGTACTGCTAAAGGTGAAGGAGCAACATGTCCTAGGGCAAGTAAAGACTTAGAGTGACATGGGCTGGACAGGGATGGGACAGGAGCAGCAAGGCCATGCCATCCACTGCCACTTGGSCCTCAGCAGTTCTTAGATCCAATGCCTTCATGGAGATGGCACAGCAAAGCTCAGAGGTCCTGACCACTCATCAACTCCTGTTCCTCCATGTGATGTTGTATCCCTCCATGTGGCTCTGTATCTTGCCCTGGCTCCTATCTCCTGTAGTCCCTGTGCACCCATGGCAGCATACCTATACAGCCTGGAGGGAAAAAGCCCCAAGCTTAACCCAAATTGTAACACATGGCTCAAAACCTCCACAAATGGGAAAGAAATGACAAAAGATGGACAGGCAAAAGATCTGGAAACCATCTACCAACTTTCTACATCCAATAATGCTGAACCTATGCTGTCTCCTCCTGGACATAGTATTACAGGGCACAGCCTACGTATTACCAGAAAGCTTCTACCCACAACAACAGTGGAACTCTGGAAGCAGCCTCCAGGCAGAAGCACAGCTGAAACACAGGGTCTATGCACCACAGGAGGCAAGGCAACTGGGAAGCACTGGGCAGAGTCCACAAGAAYGTTACACTTTGTAATAGAGATTTCACAGCCTTGAAATTGCTCCTCCAGATAACATGCTATGAAAACCAAGGAACTAACATGAATGGAGTCAGAAATCACACAAAGATCACCYGGGAAACCTCCAAGAGCAAACCACAGCTAGTCCTGTCCAGCCTKTGTGCATCACCCCTGCTCACTGGAGTTAAACTCCACCCCTTGCTTACAGCAGTTCCCAAATTGTTTCCTCCATACTCTCCAAGTTCTTTTCTAACACCCCTGAAGATCTCTCAGATCAAGAAACAAACCTTCGAAAGAAAGAACTCACACCTTGGTAGAACATGGGGTCTATACACATTTTATCCAGGTACAAATCCCTGGCAGTGTGAAGGAGCACCCAGTAGCCTGAAATTTGTAAGGCCATCTGTAGCAAGACACACCTGCCCTCCTCAATAGCCATGTTTCTGYGCCAGGGTGCAGTTTTCACAGAGGTTTTCTTCCTCCTGACACAGCTACCAGCATGAGGAGCCCAATTTGCTCCTTTACTTTCTATGTAATAAGAAACCACACTCTCACCTGACCATCCACCAATCCAGACTGAGCAGTTTCCCAACCAAAGCCCACTAATCAAGAGAAATACAGCTTACAGGAATTCCAAACTCCCGGTAGCTGCACATCACCCCTGGCTGCTTCCTCTCATGCTCAAACCAGAGCTCAGCACAGGCAAGACACATTTGAAGACAGGATCCTCTGCCCTCCTGAAGGCAGAAGCAACAGGATGCCTCTGGATTGGTGAATTCAAGCCACAGAACCCCAAATTTCATGTGAGAAATTAACCTCTCTGTATCTTCAGATCCACCCATCTGATCCAACAGGGYCTGCCCAGAACAATCCCCAGTGCTCATTTCAGCAGGGTGTCCAGGCTGTTCCGCTCCACCAGGCTGAGAAGAAGTGGCTTGGTGAACACAAAYACACTTTGCATCAGAAACACATCTGGGCAGGGAGGTCTGAAATATCCAGTTCCAATCCAAAKTCTAGAAAATGTTTCTGGCCTACTGAGGAAAATGTCATTCCAACATCTCAGGAAAGAAGGCAGGAGATTGAGATACATCAGCTGCACGACAGAACACTTGACAGAAGCATGCAATCAGAAGAGGTCAACACTGCTTTTGAGGAACAGCATCTGCTGTGGACACATAAGAGACACGAGGACAATTTGCTGCATCTAAGCTCAGCCAGCCTCACCATGGAGGAAGCGACCAAACTAACAGCATCCATGTCTTTCAAACAGAAATGGCCATTAAGAGTTTGCAGACACTCAAGAAAGATTTAGCACAGACACATCACCATTCTRGCACTTGAACAGTTATCATATCCAATCCAAAACACTTGCAAGCCCTCAGAGCTTATAACACCATTAACCAGCCCAGGATCCAAGCCCTGCCAACAACTGCAGCTCCAACAGAGAAAGAGCAGCACCTGTCCTGGAYAGCGTTGACAATCACTTGCACAAACATGAAGCTTAAGATGTCATCTACTAACAATGAAAGCTCTTCTATGCTAGACAGGAGCCACTGTGGCTTTCAGTGAATCCGAAACAGAAATCCACACAGATAAAACACAGAAAGTCAAATCCCTACAGACAGCTGATGATGGGAACTCACTAGCTGAGACTAAGTCTTTTATTTAATGGACTAACAAGGTCAGAGAGAGGAAAGAGCCCCAGAAGGGGGTCTGCAGAAAATCTTACAAGAGTTTGATGATGTGGTGAGACACAAAAAGTAAATATCTAAATGCAAGCTCAACGACCAGTAAGAATACCCTATTTCAGAGAGGAAAAGAGAGACAAGGAAAGAGGACTTGCTGGAAAGGTCRCTCAAGATTTTAAGAAGAATCATCTAAAGTACTCCATAAAATTTCTCTGTGTTGTAACTACCATCAAAAACTCATCAGAAACATTCTCCTAACTTGACAAAGGCTTGTTTGAAAATCCCCAGCATTAAGAAGCTTCCAGGAACAAGAAGAGAACCCAGCGGGTATRTCCTGGGAAAGCAGAAGGCACTGAGCTCCAGGACAGAGGCAGTGACATGCAAAGCCAAGCAGGAGCAGGCTATGACAGGGACACCCTGGAGAGCCCAGGCAGCAGGGAGGCTGCAGGTGCAGCTTCTGAGACTTGACACTGACAAAACTCCTGAGACCTTARAGAAGAAAAATGTGGGACATCTTTYATATGTTTGCTGCATYTGCCACAGGGACCAGCTGCAGAACGGCACTGTCCAGCTAGATTGGTGGATCTGAGGATACAAAGCTGATCTTTTTCACGCTGATGTACCCTGGTATTTACTAGTGTCAGGAAGAGCTCTGTGCCACGCTTGCTCTCAGACTTTGGACAGGAATATCCTGAGGCTAGGCTAGCTAGACAACTCTCTGAGACTTAACCTCTGTGTAACTCCCTGCCATATCCCTGTTGGTAAAATGAAAATCCTCAATCTTTGTTTATTTTAGWGCTGAAAACAATTCTATCACAGTAATGGCTTTCACAAGTAACACAGAAACAAGAAATTCTAACAAAAAGTAATAAGCTGAATAAAGACATAGGAAAACAACAGTGAATCAGTCTGGACATTAATTATAGGCATATCTACCATTATCAGCTACAATATATCAAGTCAATCAATTCTGAAAGGCATTAGCTCCAGCGTAAACCAGGAAGATCCCAATTTAACCTTTTTTTATTTAATTCTGGGAAAAAAACCCCTTCTACACTGACTCAACTGAGAGATTCAAACAACCTACAAATAACCAGAGTAATTGAACTCCATCTAACTAACATTAGGTGCTGGCTAAATCATTTCAAATTTGTTCCACTAGTTGTGCCGTTGACTTTATACTCACATGTGTGGATTTTGGAAAGGAACTCCAGAAGTATTTAGAGTAAATCTTGCTGTGGACTTGAAAGGTGGATTTGCAAAATTTAACTTCAGCGCTTTGCGTTTACCTGGGAGACAACGAACATAAAGTAAACTTTTTGTCAGCACAAAATATTGAGAGCATCTGGAAATAAACAGAAAAAAATGACATATTGTAAGAAAAGGAAAATGTATTTTACAACATTAGCAAATCACAGATTGTGTCAGGACAGGGGGATGGAGACACAGAGTCAGCTCTCACACCAAGGTCTTCCCGAGCTCATTCCAAGGCAGTTGCCAAAGCCAGGCTCCTCCTGTGACAGCTGGAGCATCTGGATCACCTGCCAGGGCTCCAGCAGCCACAGCACATCCACCCCAGAGCTGAGCATCCTCCATGCACACCCACAGGGACACGGGCCCAACCCACCACACACAGCCTGGGCGCACCACAACACCTGGGGGGTGGCACTGAAAAGGGAAAAGGCACCTTGATATGTCTTTTATGTGACACTGCAAGCACAGGACAGCTTTTGGGGTTCCTGACCCTCCTCAGGCTAGCAGCAAACGGAGATAACCAGGCTTGAAGGAGGACGGATATCTGCRCACTCCTGCCAAGTGGGCTGCCAAGCACAGAGCATCTGAGGGGTGACCAGGTGAGGGAAAGTGATGCTCTGCAGCCAACTGAGGAAGCAGTGGGAAACACAACATAAATAAATAGTAATGTGAGAGGGGCCCCTGCTCACTGCACAGCCACTGGCTCTGCATTTTCCACTGAAGCTGAGATGACCWACTCAAGCAACAACAAGATCAGGGACCACAAAGGCAGCTGTCCCTTCCGAGGCCACCCACTGGGGTGCAGAAAACCCCGTCTTATTCTCATTGCCCACAGGAAACCTCTACTCCACCCCAACAAAACACCTGAGATGAGGCCCCTTCCACACCACTTTCCCAGGAGCCTGTCACTGAATCCCCACCAGCTTCCCACWGCCTGGGTGATTTCTTAACCACTTGCTGTTGCTCATCCCAGGAGGCACTGGCCACACCAAGTTGGCACACCACCTGGATTCCTCCAAAAACCTTTCTTTGCCTGCACCTTAGAACAGGTGTCATAGTCCCCACCATCCCACAACCCTCCTGGGAAAAGCCAAAAGCATTCCTCCACCTTGCAAAGAGGTGTTTTGGGTAATACCAAGACCATGAAAAAAGGAAAAAAAAATTACTTCAAAGTATTTAGAGCCATTTCAGGACATAGACTACTACAAGGATCAGAGAATCACAGAATCAYTCAGGTTGGAATGGATCAACTGTTCCCCCAGCACTGATAAGGCCACCACTAAACCATGTCCCCAAGTGCCACATCCACACATTCCATGGATGGTGACTCCAACATTGTCAAGGCTTGACAACTCTTTAGGTGAAGGAATCTTCCCTAATATCTAACCTGCACCTCCCCTGGCACAAGAGTCCTCTAGTCCCATCACTTGCTACTTCACACAAGAGACTCACCTCTCTAAGAGATTCATACAACCATTGAGGATGGAAAGGACTGTTAAGATCACTGTGGCAATAGACATCTAAAACCAGCCTGATAAGCCCAACAAACCTCAGAATCAAGCATTCCCTCAAAAGCAATACACACATTGTGCAGCCTGGAAGGCATAAAAAAGCTTGTAGCCAGCAGCCATTCATCCCTCCCAACCGAAGCTTCTCAGCACTTGCCACCCCACACCAGCTCAACTTGGACCAAGTGACAGCTCAGGGACATTGATTTGGCCTTGAGGTGTCACTGCAGGAGTTGGGTGCTTCTGCTGGCACTACCCAACCTGCAGCACATGGAGCTCCATCACATGGCTCCACACCCTCTTTGATTTCCAGAGAGATGACACCTATTTCCCTTCTCGATCTTTCACTTCCAAATCACTAACAGATAATTTCAGTTTTGATGCTACTGCAATACAACAATCCAAAAATATCTGCATACATGTTGCATTTGCTAAAAATCACCGCATTTGTTACACAAAAACACCACAAAAAGAAACTTGTACAAAATCCAATAGCATGAAATGTATTAYCCAATGCTTTGCATCAACCACCTAAAACAAACAACGCATCCCCATTTTCTGGYGACAATTCACYAGCAGACTTCCATACAATCCCAGKYGGTGATGGTGGAGAAGAGTGAAARCAAGGATACCTGGCCTGGATATAAYYGAAGTTAAGGGCAGCTGCAGCACAGAACTCAACATTCCTGACAGGCTCTTCTTGGGTGTGTTACCCAAAAGGAGATGCCACAGTGTGCACTAGGCTACAGCACTACAAGGAGACAAATACTAACATACTCATTAAAAATCCTGAGCACACTGCAAAAAGGCAAATCRCGATTGGCTTGCTCCTGTCAACAGTAAAAGGATATATCTGTTTATCAGAATATGGAAAAAGGTCACTGCTGGTACTGAAACCTGGCCTGCTTTGGGGTATTTTCACCTTAGTAGCACCTTCTTTACTTTGTTTTTGTGGGAAAAAAAATGAAACAAATAATGTAGTTTAGCAAATAAAATAATGCCCAAAATACCCATTAAYCATCTTGCCTGTCAAACAGACTTTGCAACGTGAGGTTCTACCTTATAAATGTATTTTCAAAACTTTTTTTATCTTTTTCTTATAAAGATTTTTTCCACATGTTTATTACACATCACTTAGCCTTCTGAAAAACACCTGGTTGGGCTGCAGGGTCCCTCTCTCCACGCGCAGCAAGAAGGCCTGGTATCTCTCAATCCTGACTGACCTCCATCCCTACCCTCCACTGAGCCATGCAGCACGAGGAGTATCTTATTTATGTTACTTAYGTGTACACAAAACAATTCCTCACTTTGTGCCAGATGGCTACATCTATATACACAGCACTATCAGGAGGATCAGCCTGCTCAGACTTTGACACTCCAAAAACTCCTGGAGTAAGCAGTGCAATGGGAAGCCTACACGGACAGCCAGAGGCAGGCACTGAGGGAGCAACAGCACAGTTTCCAAGAGAGACAGGTGAAAGTAACATTTCATTCTCACTTTAAAWAAATCACAGAATTGTGAAATGGTTTGGGTTGTAATGTTCTTACAGATAAACTCATTCTAACCCCAGAGATGGGCAGGGACACCTTCCACTAGGTCAGGTTGATCAAAGCTGCATCCAACCTTCCTCTGAATGACGAGACCACCAGAGCTTCTCTGGGCAGTCTGTGCCAGTGCCTCACCACTCCCACTGTAACAACCCATTTCAAGCTGACACTGAGGACACTGWCAGCCAGCACAGATGCAGAACACTCCATACCTTGTGTTTGTCCCTTGAGCAAAGCATACAGCTAAGGATAGGCCTGCAGCACCAAGGAGCTGGAGGACCTTCTGCGAGTGCACAACCTGTCCCAACATCACGCCATCACTTGACTGACCTCCCACATCCCTTCTGACTGCTTCYCTGAGGACATCTCTCCCCTCAGAGCAAAATCAAATGGAGTTCATGACTGCCAAGGGTCTGGAGGATGGGACACTTATTCCCAAAACCTCCCCTGTTCATCAGCTCCCCCCAGCTCTGCAAAAGGCACAGGGAGTAGTGCTGGRCAGGAACCTGCCAAGAATGGCCACACAGCCCCTCACTCACTGGTCCCATCATGGCAGCACAAATCTGCCCTCAGACAGGGTCCAGAGATTTCTTCTATTATCCTTCAGGTCTGTTTCATTCACATACCCAAAATCCCAGCTTTCTGTCAAGGCCAGTAACATTGTATTGTAAGATTTTCCCTTTCTGACAGCAATGTTTATACAGCTCAGGAGAACACTGGACTTGAAGCTGCCCAACACTAAAATTGATACAATTATCTACAAACCCTGATCAAGAAACCTCCTCACAGCCTGCTCCTATTCTTACTATTTTTAAACTTTATATACCAAGCTTCCTCCTGTTTTCACACTRGGACAACATTTTTTAACACAGTTAAATGCTGGTCTATTGATTTCATCTCAGTAGGTTTCTAAGGATAATTTCAATTATGTCAATCCACCATCTGGAGCTGATTTTCTACAAATCCAACAAACACAGAAGCTTAGGCTGCCCYGGGAAGCAAACAGGATGGTTTGCTTCTGCTCAGCTGATGAACAAGGAACGTGACCAGGAAAAGCGAACATCCTGAAAAATGCCAGGAATTTCCATCCAGCACAGATCACATGAAAACATGTACTGTAAGTGAAACAACAGACTCCAATGAAGCAGAAGTCTGAGGAGAGCCAAAGCAAACTGTGTTCCCCAGCAGCCTTCCATAGCTTCAGCTGTGGACTCCAAGACTTGAGTTTCATCCTAAGAAAGGMTTTAGATTCCATGTCTCTATTGCTTGCAGACACATCATTCCAACTGGAGGCAAAAGAGACTCTTTAGATGCAGGAGTGTTGCTGTGATTTTGTTACATACAGGTTCATTACAGACCACCCTGTCTCACTAAAACAAAGAGGCTTGGGGTTTATGGCACTTCTGAAATTCACTGATGTCCATCACCACCAAGGCTGTGTGACCAAAACCATCTGAAAACSTGATGCAGAAATATCCACCTTACATAAATTGTCTTTTAAAGGTTCTGCTAACYTAACACATAATTCCAATAATCAACCGTTCTAACATATACTTCACTGCGAACTATTACTGTAAAGATTACGGGAGAGAGAATTATTTGGAAGAAACCAAAACGAACTTTGGAACAGATCACTTTTTCACAAATTAGGGTAATCCTCAACACCAGACCTGAAACTATGAGGTTTCTTGATGTATGGTTTTCCCAGTTTTGATTACTGGGTTTGTTCAACAGCATGTTAATGGTTACACCAAGTCTAGGCCATATTTGAAAGCAGGATGGCCTGGGCTTTGGCTGAGATAAAGTGGCAAGGAAAGTACCACCTTATGTTTTGAGGGAATCTAGGAAGGATTGAATCCTAAGTTAGGCTGCTCTCCAAAAAGAAAAAAAGACAGCGAAAAACAGCTTTGTGATTGTAAGTAAATCTACCCATAAGTATAGCAATCTTTATTGCAAATCATCCCAGTCTTAAAGTGGTA